GTGTTCTGTTGGAGAGTCTCAAACTAGGACGAGATATCTGTCCAGTACTCCCAGGTTTCCCAAGGATTCTGTAACTGATTTCAGCTCATAATGAACCCCCCCCCCAACCAATAATAACTTACACCCATTACACGACAGGTAGCTCTCCTGACCTAGCGAATAGAGATTTGACTTTTAAAACGATAGATGGATGACTACGAGTCCCAAAGGAAATGTCATCGCTCACTGCGAATACAGGTAAATATATCTGATAAGTGTTAAAGAGGATGAAATGACCATCTGGGATACTTCTACTAGCCACAGCCAAACAAAAGTCATTACATATGCATTTTTTAAAACTCCATTATTTGTTATCTTCAGTTATGCCTTAATTCTGCATGGAATCTTTCAAAAACCAAATAGTCTGACAGTCAACCCGTGGGATAGGTCTTGAAAAGGTTTCTTTGCTGGGGAAGAATATCTGTTTTTCACCCGTGATACAAATCGATGATATATTTTACTTAATTACATGTACGATAATTTCACCCAGTCGAAAATTGCATATGTATTTGTTTACATATACACATATATACAAACATATATACAAATAATACATGATTTCCGGTCGTGGATATAAAATACTGCAGTGTACATCTCCTAACTAATCTATCGTAATCACAAAGTAATCAAGTGTATTGATTTAGTTAGTCGCTTATTAAGTTCATTTCTAAATGCACTCCATATATATATATATATATATATACATCCTTATCAATATTTGATTGACTAATATTCTATTAAGTTCACCTTAATATTGAATATTATAATTATTATTATTGTTGATTGTATTAATAAAGAACTGCATCATCAAGTGATGTGATATCTAATCACTAGAAGCGATTATGTTTCACTACAGTTGAAGGTTTGTCGCAAAACCAAATGACTATCTCAAAAGCTTGCATCCCATCCTAACTATAATTTCAACTTATATGACCCTCTTATAATGGTTTCTTCAATATATACAAACACTATTTAGACTATAAAATGAAAAACTGAAAGCATCCGATCATATATTTAGTTTTAACAATTTTATAGACCAAACAAAGTTTAAAAATGAAAAAAGTCGGAAATAGTATGGGAAATGTTTTTTAAAAAGACAGGTCACAGTTTGATTTAAGGCTATTTAAAGTTTGATGTTGCGGGTGCGTACTGATGATCGGTAGAAAATTCGAACAAAACGGCTTATTATTATTATTGATCCTTTGGGTCCCAAGTGGAACATACGGCTTCAACAACACATCTCCGATTTGTTCTATTTTCTGCCATTCTATTCAGCCCATTATATCTCATCTCCTCCTCGCCACACAATCTCCTCCATATCACCTTCTCACTGACGACCAACTCGTCGCTTCCCATTGGGGTTCCACTCGAGCAATGGCCTGCATTGTGCGCGATGTCATTCCATGGCTTCCTCAATGTATGCCCAATCCATCTCCATTTTCTCCTACATATTTGTTGAGCGATGGGTTCCTGGTTGGTTCGTTGCCAGCCAGAGCTTCTTGTTGCTAATTCTTTCTGGCTGATCACTTGATCTTCAGCATGGAGCCAGCGAAGGTTGCAGCTGTTGACAAAAGTCTGAAACCTGTTGGAAACCCTTTTCGTGACTCACACGTAGTACAAGTTTCTGACCCGTATTGAAGAACTGACTGACTTAACATTTGTGTGGAAAATCCCAATCTTGTTCTTAGTGCTGAGTGCAGTGCAGAAGATTTCAGAATTAGTTTCAGGTTGATGAAGGCAGATCTTGCCTTTCCGATTTTGGCCTCCTTTGACATCTTCATCCATTCTGACTGTCTTTGGTTGAAACAATGCTGGCTGCTTAGACTAGTGAAGGCAGGAAGCAACCTCTGTTAAACCTCTCCCGTTGATGGTGATTCGTGCTGGTTGTTGTTGTCGTTGTCGGTTGATTATCTTCATCACCTCTATCTTCTCTATGTCTACCTGGATTCCTGTCTTCACTGGCTGCTTCTTCATCCAGTTTATTGCTTTTCGCCTGCAAGTCTTCCATTTTGTGTGACACTAAACATTAATCATCCACGCGCGAAATCCAGATCTTCTGGAGTCTTCTAATCGGTGGTCCAGCGTATTCCTGTCTTCTCACTCCCCTCGCACAATCTGACGCATAATCCAGTTCGCCACAATTAAGAACATCTCCGGTGATAATAGGTGGCCAGCTTGTCTTACTCCTGTATTCACTTCGAATGCCTCAATGAGTTTTCCGTTGTGGATCACCTGACGCATGGTATCGCCATATAGCTGGCTGTAGAATGAAGTTTATAAAGAATTGAGACACTGTAAGCTGTAATGTTGAAGCAGTTTCCAAATTACTTCTCGGTCAACGCTGTCTGTCGAAGGCCTTTTCGAGATAGATTAAGTTAAAGTAGAGGTTTGGCTGCCATTCTATGCTAGTGAAAATTAATCTGCTGCTAACTAGCTACTAAATATTAGATGAAATTGCTTATAGTTCTTAAGATTAGCCACAACGATCTGGGTTCATCAAGTCGAATGTGAGGAAAACCACCCGCCGATAACACTGGCTGGTGGTTGCGCTAAATGTCGGAATTCGGCAGAATTCAGAGTTTACGGATCATTGAATTCTAACTGAATGGTTGAACGACTTTCCTATTAACTTGAGGATCTTAGGTTCCGTCTCTGGTAGGATAATCAATGGATGCGTTATAATTGTAAGGAAACTGCTAACTTTCATTAATTAGGCACCAACGAGTTGACAAGATACAGACGAGATAGAATGGATCCATTTTGCCCCACTACGTGTCTTTATTTATTTGTTCGCATTCATTACATAGGTAATTGGCTAATGAAACCCCCTTTTTACCTGAAAATAGCTGTTTTGGAAAAACTGTGTCAGACTATTAAGCTTCTCTACTGATAAATTTTTAACCTATTTTGATATGCTGTGTGTAAACGCCTTCATCAGTTATGCTTCATTGTACGTATGTCACATGTGCACAGAAAAATATTGCAGTCTCTACAAATATATTCATTATAAATGCTTCCTGATATATTCTGTAAGCAGTCAGAGGACATCTATTCCTTTGAAGTCAAAGACTTCCTTGTGGACAATTGCAAATAAGTACGAAAACTAGATTCGGAACTTCTTTCCGATTGCCTCCAGTCATATGATATCGAGGAGCGTTTGTTGCACACTCATCCCATCACAATTGATAATATTACCAGACACATTTGTTTTTATTCAATTTTAGTTTCCCCGTTGACTGATTGAAGTAAACTGTCCGGCCTTTGTCGACATATTGGCTCCTAGCACGGAGGCTTCGATGATGTCTGAGGATTAGCTTGAAGTAATTTCGTGAATGGTAGCTAACGATAGAATCTAAGATGTGCGTTTCACTTTATTCATGACTCAACAACTGTATGTACCTATATCCCCCTGTGAGTGAGCTCACCACTCATCGTTTTAAAAGCCAATGCATTATCCACTAAACCACTTGGGTCACGAGAGCCACTTGTTGTGTGACTGGCATCAGTTATTATCTGTTTTTAATCCAACTTTGACTTTCCTGTTGATTGATTGGGCTGAAACGTGGCATTTGAAAGGATGGGTACTGCGTTCGAGTCTCAGTGAGAATAGCATCACTCAATGGGAATGCAAGTACCTCTAGATGACGAGTCCCAAGTAGGATGAAATGCGTATCCTGGATTCCACTGCTAGTTGCTGTCCACCAAACTATTATCGGGCATATTCGTATTAATAATATTAACATATTCGTAATATGCTTCTGTAGAAGAGAAGATGCGTTCTTTATGATGAATATGATACTTTCTGCCGGCCTCATATAAACTGTAAGAAACTGAAATTCTTTAAAACCACTTTCATATTCTCTTAGTTATCTAGTAGAACATTATTTTAGTTTCTGTAACATAATATTTGCGTGTTTCATAGTTTTGTGACTTTTAATTTATCAGAGTGAATTATTTCCATTTATTTCTAATGGGCTGTAGGCGTCCATCAGTAGCTGCCTTCGTACCATACTGAATATTAGATAGCTGGCCAGAGAGGATAACCAGACAGTCAGAACCAGCCAACAACCTATGAGTGGCCCAAAAAATATGTAGATCAAAATGAAGATGGATCAGAAATACTCTGAAGAGACATTTAAGCAACATCACACACCCGAAGAACTCGAATGGGCAGTGAAGGGTTGGACATAGGTTCGAGAGTGACATGAAGGAGATGATGTAAGGAGATAAGAAAACCCTGTGGAACCATTTGAAAGCGATGACGGATAAATGAGTGGAATAGAGACATGCTACTGAAGGTGTATGTCTCATTCAAAACGCCTGAAATGAATTACAGTAATAGCAGAGTGAATTATTTGAGACGTTACACGTTAAATAACAGTCTCTGTTAAAACACTGTAATTACTTAAAATGCACGAAACTACACCCAGTCTGTTCACCAAGTAACAATGGCTTTTCATTATGTATATGATCCAACTGACTTATATGTCTAAAGGCGTTTTCTTTTTTCAACCTTATTTTCAAAAACACCAGTGTAACACGCGTCGGTGCGTCGGTGCGTCGGTGGCACAGTGGTTAGGACTCTCATCGACCATGCACATGGTCCGGGGTTCGATCTTCTGCCGACGCACACCCGATATCTATGGTCGGCCTGCAAAATTTGGGCTACCGGTATCCATGCTGAAAATTCCATACTTGCACTGAAAAGACGGTGTGGAATCTAGCTGTAATCAAAAATAAAATTAAAAAAATAAATATATGATGGTGCAAACTACTGACAGACTGATATAAGTAGTTGGATAGCACTTACATCACCCGGCAGGGCTTGCTAGTCAAAACGAAGTGATTCAGTATATTAACTGTGAATGCAAAATTTCTTACAATCACGATTACACCTCTTTTTCAAAGTACGAATTGTATTTAGATCTTCAAACTCAATAATATTAAATAAAATAACATACCTTTTAAGACACTCTTTTCATTGGTAGGTTCAACTGGCTGAATATTAGTCAAGGAACTTGCAACCTGAAGTATTGAAGTGTCTTGCGAAATTTCTGTTGTTGTTGGTGTTGTTGTTGTTTCACTTTCAAATATCTTCTCCGTCATTTCTGAATTTGGGAGTGTCGATACAATGGGAATTTCAGTAGTTGAAGTTTCTGATTCAAATGGACTCGATGTAAACTCTTCTGTAGTATTTGATTTGCCTTCAGTTTCATTAATGAACTTTTTAAATTCACTTTGTTGCCCATACACTGTCTCATTGGTCAAATCAGTCATATCAGCGAGGGATTCCATAATGTTCACGCTTATTTCAGCTTTACTACTTGAATCCTCAGTTGGCTGGTCATTTAATTCAGGAATGATTGACTTGTCACTCGTATCATTATTTTCAAACAGATTTTCAATGTTCAATGTTTCTGTAGTCTCAGTGGAGGGAGATGTAAGTATCTGTTCACTGGAAGCTTTAGATGAAGAATATTCATCCTTTTCATCATCATCATCATCACTTGAAGATATGCTTGAATTTTTATCCAGATCGATCGTCTCTGTAACGACGAAGACTCCATCTTCGTCATCGTCAAGGGTACTTAATGTTACATTTTGAGTTTCGCCTTCTACTTGATTGTCTTCTGAATTTTCTTTTGCATTTACGGCTCTTGATATTTAAAGTAAACCAAATAGTCTTAGTAGATAGTTTGTATTACCACACAAACGGAAAAGTATATTTTGTATAGTAATATTTTATTGTAATTTGTACCTATTAGCAAGATGTGTCTGTAGCTCAAAGAGATTTTATGTGCTCTTCTATCATATCCTTCGTTAAACGAACAAGTGGTTTTAAAATTGAGGTAAGTAAAGAATTCACTTGTTGAGGATTTTCACCCTTATCTCTAACCATGAATAGTCTCTATCAAAAAGATGTTTTCTACAGTAGAAAAAAGAGCACACTTTACCTTGGATGGGTGAAAACGCTTTAATAATGACAATCATAGTATCCTCTAAACTACATTAAAACGAATATTTTTTGGTTAATTTGTTGGGTTTTGTAGGGATTTATTTTAATTTCACCGTAGATTTTATCACAGACCAAAATCAGTTATAGAATCATTAAAAACAAAGAAGTATTATACATCTGTTTCGTCCTAGTTAGGTAGTCATCATCAATGCTCATCCATGAACCCCCCCCACCAATGACTATTCAGTCAATGGGTTGCAGTTCGGTAAACCTCGATGGTACTGGTTAGAGCTGGTGGTATATTGCGAACTGAGAGAAGTTACGATTCACTGGTCATTGAATTCTAATACAGTTTCTGGTTAGTCAACGGACTGTTCTCGTAAACTGAAGGTACTGGATCTGACGTTTGATGTGTTCTCAGGTGCTCACTGCTGAAGGACCTCAAAGCGTCCAGTACCCGCCGGTTTTCAATGAATCGTAATGATATCTACAATGAAATACTTTTGTGTCCATTGAACTACATTCGAAAATGTTTTCTTGTAAAATACATTTATTAGTACATGGCTAGTTTGGATGATGTCATAAAATAAAAATTAATGACTCTGATGAACTGATGTCTCATTGACATTGTCATCTAGTATCAAACTATTTAAAATATACTTATCTTTAGTTGCTATAGATGATGCTAAACCCGTCCATTATCTTTGGTTTTGTAATTACTTAATTAATTCCTAACTATATAGATAAATGAGTGCTATGAAGATAGATTAGTGTCTGCACAAAACCATTAATACAGGTCTTCAGTTGCTAAGTAACATAAATCAAAATCAAAGGATGCGTAACCGCTGGTCCACAACTCCACTACTTCTACGCATTAAGCCACTAGTGATCTAAACACGAAATAGCCATTTAGCTCATTTGTAACTGTGAAGAGGCCAACGCTGGATTAGTCATCATCCTAGAGAGACTAAAAGATGTTGTAGATGTAAAACGTCGCTGGGATCAAGCTGCATTCAGGAAAATCAAATCATGTGTGGACCAAATATCAACCCTACGTATCATCATTGAATAGAACATAGAATGATAGTCAACTCACTACCTCAACTCCATTCATTTTAAAAACATCTCATTCATAAACTATATGATGATGCCACAGGTCAAGTGGTTCACAACGGCGAGCCTAGTGAAGCTTTCCAAGTGAAGACAGAAGTAGGAAAAGGCTGCCTACTACCACCGATGATTATGGTGGACTAGATCATGCGACACACCCAGGGGAGCAAGAAGACGAGCATACGTTTGGCCAACAAGAAGACACTGAAAGATCCGGATTTCGCGGGTGATTTATGTCTAATATCACAAACATTCAAAGATCCACAGGCGAAAACTAACAGGCTGGCAGAAGAGGCAGAGATGACAGGAATTTAAATAAACATAAAGAAGACAGTGGAGATGAGGATATACAACCAGCAACAACACGCATCAATCAAAATCAACAGGCGAATTCTAAAGGAAGCCAACTGTTTCACTTATCCGTCCTGTCAGCATCATTTCAACTACAGTTGGCAGGGATAATGATTCCAAAGGCAGGATCGAAAAAGCAAGACTGACCTTCATTATTCTTAAATCAGTAAGAAAGTTTACTGGACTCTACATAAGGAATATGATTCGAATCTTCAGAACCAATAATAAGTCAGTGCTTCGGTAAAATTCAGAGACTTGATGGGTTACCAAAATCATTTCCAACAGGCTACTGCAGACTTTCATCAAAAGCCACGTTCTCTGACTCGAAAGAGAAGATTAAATGGTCAGTCGGCTGGAAAGGATAGGCAGCAAGGAACTCTGAGTACAAACCAAGCAAGAACCCATCGCCCATTAAATATCCAGAAAGAAACGGAGATGGATCTAACACACTCTGAGAAGACCGTTGGGTGATATCGCGCGTTAGGTTCTCCAGTGGGTCCCGGGCGAGAAAGCAAGAGTTGGGCGTGGGGCCAAGGATGACATACAGAAGATTATGGTAAGGCGAAATGAAGGCTTCTAGTCAGTCGTGAAGCCGATTGAAAAAATTTTTGCCAATATGTGAATCCTTGTTTTGCATTTATAACACGAGGAATGAATGATATTATAATAATAACAATAGCAAAAGTATAAAGCCAAAACTTACTGATCTGCATCGTTTGACGCCAAGTTCGTTTCTCCATGGCCTAAAACAAGATTAAGAGAATAATTTGTCATAGTTTATATTATTTGCGTACACATTTATGTTTTATTTGTGTTCTTGATGACATGTTATAGACTCTATGATTTCTTTAATCTTCTTATAAAATATCTCATTCTCAAAGAACAATAGATGAAATAAATCAGAGAGCAGTCTTAAATCCAGTTTTCTTGATTATTCACAGTTGTCTACAAGGTGTTTCTACAACACCAAAGGAACTGGTGTCCTTCCTGAGAGACTTAAGTCAGCATTATGAACTAGGTAATATAACAAGATTTAATAGAGTGAGATATTCCCATATCATGAACTAAAAGTCAATCTGAACGAAGAATATTTTTTTCAATAATTTCTCTTCAGGTACTTACAATTATAAAATATAATATTTGTTGTCGTTACAATAATGACCAGTTATGCGGCGGATACATTTTTTAACGTAGATTAACAGATTAGTTATGAGGTGTTAAAATGAATAGTCGTATTTGTGTGACAACAAAGTGCTAGGCTGAAATCGATTACAAAATATCGTAAAATGGGAGACAATGGTGGTGATTAGTCATAATAGTTTCGTAGAGTGTGGGGTAGGAAAATTGACAAGTCAGTTCAAAGTTATAAAAGGTGTCAGGTGAGTGAGTGGCTAGTACAAAGTAGCATGTATTACAGAGGAGATAGTAAGACTGCAATGAGAGGTTCATAATGAGATAACCAATATGTGAAATGAAAGATGTGGAGGCATATATTGGGAACAGAGATAATATCACTAATAATAAGTCCGGATAGTATAAATGGAAAATTCGATAATACTGAGAGAATGTTTGCATGAAGGATATAAATTACGATAAATAATAATAATTGTAATATTAAGCAAAGAGAAAAAATTGGAGAGTTAAGGAGAAGAGGCACTCTTGGTGAGAAGAAAAATCATCAATGGAAGTTTGGCCACGGTATGAACAGCGCCTGAATGTGTTCTTTGTGAATGTAAAGTTCCGGTTTCTTCGATCTTATTGCAACAGCTCCAGCTATATTTAGGAGACGTCAGTGAACTGTACGTGATAGGGACTTCGGAATTCGGTGTATAATCCTAAAGACTGTGTTTGCGTTGATGTGATGTAGAGTATCGACCAAGTGTGACGGAATCGAGCCTTTTATGCACTTAATTTCCCCCCTGCTGAACCAAGCTGGTAAATGTTCTCAACCTGTGCGATGAACCTGCCTAATCGTGCGTCCTATATTACTTGAACCACAGGAACAGTTGAAATGGTATATGCATGAGGAAGAGCTAAGGTTAGATACGACGTCTCTCAGTTTCTGCGTAAACAATCATCGGCTACTGAAGGATAGTTTTTTTTTCCTTCACGTTCCCTAGTGAAACACAGGGCTTCAAGCTAGTGGCTTGAAGTTTCTGTAGCAGCGTTTATTTTTACAGGATGGGGTAGCTAGCCACATGCCCAACCTTTACTCTTCACCAGCATTATTTCTGGTTCAGCGAGGTAAAGGAGTGCGTCGGCCGGGGTTCGATAGGATAGAGTAAAAAGTTTTCTTAATCGCCCTGGTTAAACGTCACGATAGAATCTCCACAGGAGTATCTCCCCTGAATTGTAGATGTAAAAATAGAGGCTTTTTCTCCACCGTTGCCGGTTCATGTTTACGACTAATTTAACTCATGTTGACTTTAATGAACTTCTCCGGATGTCCGTTCTCGCTTGGAATGTCTCAGATGACCTGGAGTTCTTTCTCTACACAGTCTTCGGAACAAAAGGACTTCTCTCCAAATGCTAAGCACCTGATCATATTTCTTTTGTATTTTATTGGCACGAAGCTAAGGAGGTATACTGATCTCCATTCTACGTTGAGAACTGTGTCCGCAGCATAACTGGTCATTAGTATGACGACAACAAAAATTTTATATTTTATAATTATGAAAATCTGAAGAGAAATTATTGAAAAGAATATTCTTCGTTCAGATTGACTTTTAATATAACAAGGGTTACTCTGTAGTGAACAATCAGTGTATCTCACACCGACTAACAGAAGCTCAAACGCAGACCGAATAACTTAATGCTAACAATTTCGACTACAGCTGTAATTGATGTGAGTTCGAATGTTAAAGAGGATATCTGTTTCCAAAAAAGACAGTAGATATACCTAGATTCAAGGTTTCCTACCGACTGTCTCTTACCATCTCATATTCATATTCTTATTTAAAATGTGTCTATTCATTTCGAATAGTAGTCAATTAAAGCCTTGAAGTTCGTCTATGGTTCAGGGGTAGAATGCTGGTCAACCGTCAGTGTGCTCCTGGGTTTAGATCCCCGCAAACACACTCTTTTACTTTGCGTGGCTGGTTGAATGCCTGATAAAGAGGGAGGGTTTGGCGTGAGGCTACCATTCCCACCCCGTAAAAAATGTACTCTACCGCTACTGAAACTTCAAAGCTAAAGCTTGAAACAGTATACTGCCCTTAGAAAGCGAATGAATAAAATAAAAATAATAAATAATCTATAGTAGCCTGATAAATACCATAAAATATACATTCATCATTTCACTTTCAAAATTCTAGATATTAGTTTCAAATGGAATAGAACACTTTTAATTCACTTTTAGATTTCCCCGTCGATTAATTGGACCGAAGTGCTTGGTCTCAGGTTGACGTGTCGGCTTCTTGTGCAGATGCTTCGATGATGTCTGGACGAGTAATTGGAAGTTAATTGGTGGATGGTGACTAGCAGTGGAATCCACCAGGATGCGCATTTCGTCCAGAGGAAGAGTCTCAAATAGGACGAAATGCTCATCCTAGATTCCTCTACTAGTTACCATCCACCAATTAACTTCTAATTACTTGGAATAATACACTGTCAAAAAAAACTGAAAACACTTGAGTTCTACCTGTATCCAGTTACATTTATTTACATTTTTTGCCTCTACTCTATTGCAAAAAGGTTTGTAAGTCTCATCCAAGACTGATCTTAGATTTCTTAACACGTTACCGTAATATGTATATATATATATATATGGACAGCTTACAAGGAATGCAATAGTGCTTCTTACTGTGAAACACATTTTTCTTTTTTCTCGAGTTTGACCACGGATTGATATCAGTTAGAGAACCATTGAAAACCAGGGAGGACTGTACAGCTTGTAACCAGAAGGTCCTGGCTTCTAACCCTGGTGGTGGGTAAGTACTGCCGATGATTCCTAAACTAGAATGAAACAGATGTCCAGTACTCTCTGGTTTTCAATGGTTCTTTAACTGATATCAGTCCGTGGTGAAACTCGTAAAAGAACAAATCTAATCCTTACAAACCAACTCCTGAACATTTTTCTTCGTGATAGGTTGCCTATTTCAGAGATAGTTCCTATTGGATTTACATAAGAATCACTTCCCTTGAAATCTACTAGGCATTATCACCATTAACTGAGCAATGAAGCGAATAGCTACATTTAAAATTTAATCAAAAACCTACAAAGGTTAATTAAATCCCTGTGTAAATGTACAACAAAGTATGGAAAATTTAACGTATCTCACTACATGGAAGTTAATTTGATTGTTACCTGATGAATCCCCTGAATCTGTTGAATTAGAAGTCTCTATATGTGTTTCATTGGCAAATTCTTCTTCCTTAAGAGATGATGTATTTACGCCTTCACCGTCTTTAGTAGCATTGACAGTAGTAGTCTGAAATAAAAGATAAAATCATTTGTTATAATTATTCCCATTTTCAGGTTATTTCCTTGACAGTCATACACTTAATTCAAAAATAACCAGCATTAACCCCAGCTAAATACAGTGTGGTGAGAGCTGTCTGCAAGAAAAAACTGTAGACAAAACAATTGACGTCAATATTTACGTCCCAAATCGGGGTCATGAGAAAAAAACAAGAACAAAGCCTAACCTTGAGGAACTCGACAACCAATCACAGCAGACTTAGAGTGGTCAGATATGATTTGCAGATGTATCGCCAGACTGTCTAAGAAACAGCAACAAGCAGATGACAGAATAACCTTCAGCAGGAAAACAATTAATCAGAAGACGTTGCTTCTCTGTTAACAATAACAAATAATAATGTACATAAAAATCTATAAATTTATGTTGATTTTCTCAATAAACGATCTGTTGCCTGGTCCTTGTCTTCTGTTGTTACGGCAGTCCATTGGACAGCTGGGAATATCGTATATCTGAATTAGCACTTGTAGCATAGTGCTTCATTAGTTTTAATGATAGAATCCTCAAGAACCACGGACGTGGTCCGGATTTAATTTCCGACCGGCTCAGATCTAAGCCTCGCTTAGCTGGTAGTAATCCCAGTTAAACAGGGAAGGTTGGATGTGAGGCTAACAACCCCATCCCGCGAAAAAAAAAACAAAAAAACGCCAATGCTACCAAAACTTCAGAGCTCAAGCTTGAAGTTCTGCGTTTCACCGAGAAAGCAAACGAATAAAAAACACCTTGTAGAAAGGGTTTATTATAAAAAGAATGGTTTAACTATAAATTTTTCTACTTCAGTAATCTCAATTATTGAAATTAAGAGTTACTATGTAACGACAGAAGACAAGGGACAGGAAACAGATCGTTTGTTGAGAAAATCAACAGATATTTGTAGATTTTTATGTACATTATTATTCGTTATTGTTAGCAGAGAAGAAACGTCCTCTGATTGGTTGTTTTCTTGCTGAAGGTTATTATATACTGCTTGTGACCGTTACTTACAAAGTTAAGTCATATATCTGCGAATCGTATTTGCATACGTTAAGTCTGCTGTGATTGGTTGTTGAGTTCCTCAAGGTTAATCTTTATTATTGTTTTTTCTCATGATTCCGATTTGGGACGTAAACATTGACGTAAATTGTTGTTTACAGTTTTGGCTTGTAGACAGCTCTCATGACAACCATTGACCACTCATTTGCGTTCATAGGTTTGCTTAGAACAAATATAGGCAACATAACATTTCAGCTGTTTCAAAAAGAGTTTATTCTATGACATGTATTCACTTTGAAAAGAATATGGCATTAATATTAGTCAAAATTGTATAATTAAAACTCAAGTAAATGCATATATAGAAGCTGGACTTTGTGATAGTATATAATTCCATATTAGTTTGCTTATTGGCTACGTAACATAGTGTAACAGTATCATTTACTCAATGACATTCCGAAAGCAATTTAATGTTAGTGTAATTATACAAATTCGAAACTTGATTTTTATAGTTCTTATTCTGTCATCCTACTTTACAGATGTCCAAGACAGCTGCTGAATCATTTCCATTGCACGCATTCTTAAATCATTCAGTAAACAGAGTTTCATTTATCATAAATCTCTCCCTACATCCTGCTGTGTTAGATTTTAAAACTATCATCTTGTCACATCCTATTGCATACTTGTGTGCAAACTGCATGTAGAGCTATAGCTGAGCTATTCTCTAAATTTCTTATCCCATCAGGGTCTACTAACCTGGATTTTTGTGATACGCTAATCTAATTTACTGATGCCTGTTACCTTGACCTACGCATTTGACCTCAAAATTATTGAATAGTATTAGATAAACCAAATTATTTGGTTTATTGTGCTCCACAGGACACTTTAACCGACATTATTTGTTTCTAAGTATGTTTATGGATTCAAATACCATTTCTCCTATATCTGTCTTGTTAAGAATCCTACATAAGGTTTCAGAGGTTTCTGCATTATATAGACTTCATGATTTTGTAAATAATTGTGTCCAATCCCACATCCATCAGTGACTCATATCCTATAAACCTTCAAGGTCTCATGATTCTAAGTCTAATGTTTCAAAGAGTGATTTCATACCGAATTATTTCCTTTTTCCAAGAAAACCACAAATGGAAAAAGTATAGGAAATTGACAAAACTCGCTGAGTAAGCTCTTAGACACCAAATTGGTAAACAGGCTAATCTTCATATAGGAAGAGTTTACAAAAGTTCTTATGTAGTCAGTATATTACTTATTTGTTGGTGAGTAGCAGTCGAATATAGAATGAGCACTTTGTCATATGCTGTACTGATTAACTGAATACATCTTTATTTCAGTAACTATTCACGTTGTCATTAGAATTCGGATCGAAGCCAACAGTTATAAACGAGTAATATTACACATGGCTTATAAAAATAACGCTAACTTAATAACCCTAACTAAAATAAACCTGTGATCAAACCTGCAACCAGTCAAATCACTGCAAACCAACACTTGAAAATTAGTCTGCTGCTCACTAGAGACTGGCTTTATACAGGAAGTTATCTGGAGTTCTGGTGAGAAGTCGAAAACAAGCGGAGTCCACCAAGTCAAGTAAGAGAACAGTTAGTCGCCTATGGCGCTGGCTGGCGGTTGCGTTAAACATGTATGTCACAATGTGGCTGAAGCTTAAATTCACTGGCTGAATGTTCTGTGAGGTCGCCTTATAACCGGTAGGTCCTCAAATAGAACCCTAAAGGGGTACGTCCTGTTGAAGAGTCCCAAACTAGGACTAAACAGCTGTCCAGTACTCCCAGGTTTTCCTACGGTCCTCTAACTGATATCAAACCATGCTTAAACCTGCAATCAATCAGACCCCTGTAAACCAACACTTGATAACTATAGGGAAAATACTCACACAGATATTTAAAAAAACAAAAATTGAACAAAGAATATCCTTTTCGATAATTTCCTCTTCTGGCTCTACAATTACATATATATATACATAATTGTCAATATGGGTGTTTTTAAATACTATCGATTAGTTAAGTAAGATCAGTGGAATTATATATAGTTTATGAAAGATGCAGAAGTTATAAAAAGCATAAAAATGTCATAAGAAATAGAATATTAAATAAAATTAAGGAAATTTCCACAACAAATTAAGGATCACTACAACCTTGATGGTCAAGGTAAGGACAGTGTCTGAACCAACTCCTTTTGGATGCATAAGTTAGATATCTTAAGGTGAATCCCAACGGTCTCCGCAATATGTAGTAGAAGAACTCTTAAGGTAAAGTTAAGGTCAGTTGGTAGATGACTCTGAAAGCTTTGTTAACATTAATCTTGTGTTCTGTATCCGCAAGATGAAATAGAATAGAGCTATGAATGGATTTTGTTTGTCCTTTACTAAACCGACAAGAAACAGGCCGAATTGTACGGCCTGTGTAACTGGCTCTACAGAAGCAGTCAAACTGGTAGATACACATAGAAGAGGCAAAATTAGGTAGTCTGTCTTCAACTTCCGAAAGCGAAATAGGGGTGGTTTTGAAGACAGCGTAATTTAGCAGTACTGAATGGTGTTTTTACCGCATTCCTTAGGCGTTGGGCTAAAATCTCACTGATGTTATCCGCGAGAAACTTAAGTTGTTAAAACAAGGTCTTTTTCGGAACTGTTGGTACTCTGGCCCACCTTCATTTTTGATTCATATTCTTATCTATGAATTTAATAAACAATTTTCCATTAAAAGAAGTTTATTTTTTTCCATTTCCCAATTCATTGAACAGTTGAACATTTATTTCAATTAATAACCATTCCACAGTCTGACACAGATGAACTAAGATTCTATGTTCGTTTTCTCAAAACCTGGCGCTTACTAATTAGTCATGAAAATGAATGAACTTTATTAGTAGTACGGAGAAATACTTTGTAAAACCATTATGCAGGAATTGTGGAATGATTTACTTTCTAATACTTATTCGTATGATAAAATTTATATATTGAGATTCTAAAATTATTCTGACGAAAATTTACAGTTATCACTTTGAAGTTGATAGTGTCAGAGTATACCGCCAGTTTAAGTATTTAAAGATGTTTGTTAAAACAAGAATGACAATACCACACGTCAAGTGATCCATAACGGGAAACTCCGTGAAGCCTCTGAAGAGAAGGCAGGAGTAAGACAAAGCTGCCCAATCTCACCGATGATATTCCTAATTGTTGTGGACAGACCGTAGGGCAACAGTAGACAGGAATACGTTGTACCTACGAGTAGACTATTGAAGATCTGGACTTTGTAGATGATTTATGTCAAGTGTCACTCAAACTAGAAGATCTGCAGGCGGAAACCAACAAGTTGGCACTAGAAGCAGCGAAGGCAGGATTTCAAGTAAACATATAGAAGATAGTGCGTCGGAAGGATTGCGGTTAGGACGCTCGCCGACTATGCACATGGTCCGGGGTTTGAACCCCGGCCGACACACTCCCTTACCTCGCTGAGCCATAAATAACGCTGGTAAAGAGGAAAGGTTGGGCATGAGGCTAGCAACTCCATCCTGTAAAATAAACCCTGCTACAGAAACTTCAAGCCATTAGCTTGAAGCCCTATGTTCCACTGGGGAACGTGAAGGAATATATATATATATATATATATATATATAGAAGATAGATGTGATGTAGATACCCACAGACCAACAAGAACAATCAGCACCAATCACTAGCAACAGGAGGAATTTGAAAGGGGTTGCTTCTCTAATTTATGTAGGAAGCATCACTACAACTAAAGATCGTAGAATGGATGAGGATGTCAAAACCAGAATCGGAAAGGCAAGGCAAACTTTTATCACTCTGAAATCAATTTGGGAATCTACTGGACCCAGTGTAAAGAACAAGATTCGGATTTTAAGCATCTATATTAAGTCAGTCAGTTATTCCATATACTTCGGAAACTTGATGATTCACGAAAAGGATTTCTAACAGGCCTCTGCAGACTTTCATCAACAGCTGCCTTGTCTGCCTCACTACTGCAGATCAGATGGCCAGAAAGAACTAGCAACAAGAAACTCTAGAAACGAACCAACCAAGCACTCAACAAATATCCCGAGGAAAATGGGTATCGATCGGACACACGGTGAGGTGACCCTTGGGTGACATCACGCTCCAGTCCTTCGACTGGGATTTGAGTGTAGTACGAAGAGTTGGGCGTGGGTCAGTGGATGACATGGAGGAGATCGTGTAAGGAGGAGATGATAGCCTATGGATAATCATGGAGTCAGGTAAAGGTAAACGCAGAAAACAGGATAAAATGGAAATATGCTGGTGAAGCCGTATATTCCACTCGGAACCCAGTACGAAATGTGGACATTTTATTTAAAGTCTTCTCTTCAGCCACAGATAGCCTAAAATATACGTAGTAATAATGAAATAAGAACATGCATTTTTTAAATTCTGTTTGGTTGAAGTTTTGCTTCTGGATCGTAGTTTGGAGAAAAAATACTGAATGAAATATGATGGTATACTCAGTCAAAAAAAAAACACGAAATGAAATTAGTTACTTCTTACATAAGTTTGGAAGAATATTCGAGAAGCCTAAAACTCAAAGATCCCTAATCCCCTAAAGGCACTTTAAGATCATCTAATCGAATCAGGACACAAAGTCGATATTCCAACTGCATTTACCATTATCACAAAACCAAAATGTCCAGTTTTACTTCGGTTTGCTGAATCTACTGCTATCAAGTAACTCGAAACCTCTCTTGGTTTACGAACAGAAGTAGTAATTAATTTCAGTCTATCCCGGCAACAATTACTTTATTTCTTACATAATTATGTACCGTCTTTCTTAGTACCCTCATTATTATTATCATCACTATTATTACTGTTATCCTTTTTTCGACCCACCGATCCTTATTCATTTAACTGTTTTGAAATCACTTCTAAATGCATTACTGTACATTGTTAAGTAATCTTTTCCCCCTTGTTTTGCTGTTTAATTAGTGCTACGTTACTGGGCTTCCACAATCTTCTTCCAAACTTACTATAAATAATTACTTTCTTTTCAAGTATTGGTTTGTAGGGAATTAGTTGATTGGTTACAGGATTTCATCATGAGCTGACATTGGTAAGAGAACCATTGGAAAACCAGCAGGAAGTACTGGACAGCTGTTTCGACAGCCTAGTTTGGGACTCTTCAGCAGTACGCGCCCAGTGGGGTTCGAACCCAGAACCTTCTGGTTACAAGGCGAGCTCGTAGACCATTAAGCCACTGGGACCCTATCCAATGGCCAGCCCATGAATTCTAACTTCTGCTAATTCAAGATATAGCGCGACCGCTAGCCAATAGTATTTGTGACTGATTATGCCATCACAATTCACCCATCGTTGTCTCCTTAAACTACTATCTTCCAGCCAAACTTCTGCTGAACGGAATAAAAAGATTGTATGTTCTTAGTTCTTTAATACTATGTATATTTCAAGCTGTCCGCAGATGAAGAGATGCCTTGAAATAAAATGTTCACATTTTATACTGCAAGTCTTATTCTTCCTGCTTTAACGAAAATGATCAATGGAATACGTCATATGAGTCAAAAGTATCTCTGAAAGCTAAATTCACTCGTCACAATGAATTCTCTGTGTATTTTAGCTGATTTTAACGTGTTGTCAGTTTCTGGCATAATGTAAATGACAATACAAAGATACCGTTCGTTGTGAATGAATATTCACTACCATGTAACACTTATTACAAAACTATCCTACGCAAAAAAATTTGTGACATTCACACTTGTACAAGGTGAAATCTTTCTATTAATTACATTAATTACGTTGGTCTGCGTTATAACAAAAATTCCCCTTATTAACATTTTAGTTTCACTTCAAAAGTCTATAGTTCATTATTTGGTTTATCAATGATTACTCAAAAGAACACATTTTGATGACAGAAGTACATTTCTCAATAATTAGTCGTCAGTTAATTTTCATGCCATCAATGTCAAGTCAGTGTTTCTGTATCGCACGCGGCTTACCAAAGGTGTTCCCAATAGCATACCAAAGACTTTCATCAACACCTGTTTCCACTCGATAGTATTGATTAGATGACTAGCCAGATTTTTTGTCTTCATGTTCTCAGTGGAACATAGGGCTTCAAGCTAGAGGCTCGAAGTTTCTGTAGCAGTGTTTATTTTTACATGATGGGGTTGCTGGCCTCATACCCAACCTTTCCTCTTTACTAGCTTTATTACTGACTTAGCGAGGTGCAGGAGGTGCAGCCGGGGATCGAAACCCAGACCATGTGCATGGTCGGTGAGCGTCCTAACCGCTGTGCCACCAAAGCACCACTAGTCAGTAGAGGTCATCAATAAGGAGCTCCAACAAAGAACCAACCAGAAACCTATGACTGACCCAACAAATATGCAGAAGGAAATGGAGATGGATTGGAAATACACACTGTAGGAATCATTGAGTGATTTCACACTTTACGCAGGCGTTTGAATGGCAAGTGATAAGAGTGACATGTAGGAAATCGTGTGGGGAGGAAATGAAAGATTACAGGCAGCCGTGGAGACTGCAGAGAACAGAGTACAATAGAAATGTGCTATTGAAGACCCATGTATTACTCGAGGGGCACATAAGGGATGATAATAACAATAAAAGACCCTCGTATGGTAGTCTTCAGGTAAACACTTTCTGGATCATAACCCAGTTAGATCCACCTGTCATCTTTCAGCATTTTACAATAATCAGCGATGATCACTCTATTTCAAATGATAAAAATTCCATTGACCTTTCGGTACTAAATTATTGTGTAGGCAAACAAACATAATTTCGTAATGAAGACTAAAAACCATATCTACATGATGGTATATACTACTGACTGATCCTTGTGAGTAGTTGGAAACCAACCACGTCAACCAATACGGCTTAGCAGCCAGATTTCGCAAGCTTACAGCCGAGTTCATAAGCACTGTACCAAGGTTTAATTTAGTTCAAAGAACTACTCGAATTCTGACTAGCCAATTAGATAAACTGTTAAATGCATTGAACCATCCAATTAAGATTACAATAATTAAACTTCTAACACTATCAAGATGTATACGTGAGTGGTTCATTAATAGGATACTGGCCAACCACACGAGCCCCAGCTGACTCACTCCTATTCCTCGCCTAAGCGGTTGTAAGCCCGGAAAAGAAGGAAGGTTAGGCGTGAAGCTAGCAACCCCACCCCGTAAAAAAATGAACCACACTGTTAATGAGACCCCAAAGGTCTATCTTGAAGCCCTATTTTCCACTGAGAACACAAAGGAATAGAAAAAAACCAATCAAGTTACAAAAAGCAAAATGTATACATGAACAAAGCACCAATTCAGTATAACTTACTATAATACTTGAACAATGTAAAAGTATTATCACCACGTGTATAGATAATATCAATTTTTTATTCAACATTTCACAAGTGAATTTGTAATTCCATCCACAAAGTAAACGCCAACTAACTAACTAACTATATAATAATATTTATGTATGTGTTAAACTTTGTCTTCACTTTAAATAATTTGATGAATACATTTCAGTGATACACATTTAGATATGACTGCCTAAGTTAGCTGTTAGTCGCGATATTTTGCTAACCGGTGTTTTATATATATAACAGTAAATGTTAAATATTAATCGATTAATCAGTTTGTTTACATTAAAAATATCCATATAATGTATTGTGCATACATGGACAGACACTGAATACAATTTATGTCCCCTGAATTCACCTACAAATTCACTTCTTATATTCTTGATTGATTGTACTAATAAGGTTAAATTAGACTGTGATTAAATTAAAAAATTATTATTATGCAGTCAGTCACAAACTAAATGAGAGAAAAAGACATAAATAAATAAATCACAAGACATTGATTGGGCTGATATCAATTTTTTGTGCTGCATCGTTTACAGGATGATGGGTAACGACGGTACATGCACACAGTTGTGTTTATTTGGTGAAATATTTAAAAAAAAAAGAAATTCACATTGAAACCCCAATTTTTTTGTCTTCATAGTATGGTTTATAGATTTGTTCAAAATTAGGTTCATTTTTCCTCTGTACAACCTAATCTATTTCTCCGCTATTAGGTATTTTTCCAGAAGATATTATGAGTATACTACTGACAAGTTGCTGGTAGTAATACGTTTCAATAATTTCAAAATACATTCTCATAGGTAAGAAGAACCAAAAAGCATTTCGAACAGCCTGCTGTAGACTTTTATCAACAACTGCCTTCACTAGCTCTATAGTGAGGATCAGATGGCAGTCCAGAAAGAATATTAAACAGGATACTCTGAGAACGAACCAGTTAAGAACTAATTGCTCAGCATATATGCCGAAGAAAGTGGAGATGGATTGGACACATGATGAGGAGACTGCTGAGGAACATCGCGCATCAGACGGACCCTTGAATGGAACGCGAAAGAGGAACGATGAGTTGGGTGTAGATCCTAAGGTGATATGAAGTAGATTTTGTAAGGAGGAGACGAGAGATTATGAGGAATTGTGGAGCCAGCTAGAGATGACTGCAGAAAACAGAATGAAATAGAGATGTGCTTTTGAAGTCTTATGTTCCACTTGGAACCTAAGAGAGTACTAATAATAGGTAACGAGAAGTCCGGTCGTATTAAAATTGCTCTGAAATAAATCATATTTTAAACTGGCATATCTATTTCATAATGATTTAGTAATAATTTTTTCATAAAATGAAAACCTCTAGGACCAGGATGTAGTAGACTAATGTTCTTTGATTGGACACTAACAGGTGCCATGTGTCTAGTCCTTTTTTTGTTGCAGACTGAATTATATCAGACAATTTTCCAAGGTGACCACCATGCCACGCGGCTCACCATCACACTGCACTCTGAATTGTTGTTACTAGATGGTTAGAGATAATCGACAGGAAGTCTTGGACCTAGATTTTGCGCTCATTGACACTCGTTTCCGACAATATAATAATAACATCTCAGAATACACTCTGTTGCCAAGCCATGTAGCATGGTGGCCACATTGCAAACTTCACTGATAGAATTCAGTCTGCACCAAACGAAGTACTAGACACACAACACCAGTTAATTAATGTCCAATTAAAGTATTCAATACAGTCTTACAGGAGGTTAATCACTAGCCTGAATAGCTCAGCGGTAACGTCTCTGACTACTCAGCTGGGTGGGTGAAAAGGGTTCGAATCTCAGAAGGGGCGTTGGTTCCTTCAAGACTGCAGACACACCTTGCTGACAAGTGCTGACAGGTACGAAAGCTAGGTGGTCCAAAACTCCCTGCTGATTGCCTCTAACTATCTATTAACAACAATCCTCAGACTAGTGTTCTGTTGCAGCTTGACACTTATCAATCATTAACTCATTCGCATATCGTAATCACGTCTTATGGTTGTTATAGCATTATATTTCTCACTAATGTGAAATCAATTTATCCATATTTTCAGGAGTTACTTTATGGGAATTAGATTTGTTTTAAATTTGACTACGGACTGATATCAGTCTATACTTTCCCGACAGGACTTTGTCGGAACTCAGTAGCTCATCACAAATTCTCCATGCAGCAGGCTATGAGCCACACTCATCGTGTGAGGCCTGATTTTGCCCAGACTGAAGTAAGCGGAATGGGACTGAAGACCGTAACTCACTGGTTGACAGCCAAGTGTTTAAACCAGTAAGCCAAATCTCTGCATTTCGCCGACAGCGAATATGAAAGTTCCTCATATTTCCTGAATAATGATTTCTTCTTTTTTGAGAGTAATTTTAATTGGTGAGTAGAATGATTTTATCGACTTTAAAGCAACAGGATGTTTACTTCTTTATTTAATTCAATTTTAGATTTTCCCGTCGACTGATTGGACCGAAGTGCTCGGTCTCAGGTTGACATGTCGGCTTCTTGTGCAGATGCTTCGAAGATGTCTGAGCAAGTAACTAAAAGTTAATAGATGGATGGTGACTGGCAGTGGATTCCAGCGGAATGCAGGCACATCCATATGACGGGTCCAAAGTGGGACGAAATGCGCATCCTGGTGGATTCTACTGCTAGTCACCATCCACCAATTAACTTCTATGTTTACTGCGTATTAAATAAAATATACCATACGGATCAGAGACTTGTACTGCGCGTCATAAAGAGCATCTCAAACAAACTACAGACCTTCATTAACAGTTGTCTTCGCTCAATACTCAAGATCAGATGGCCAGAAGAGATCAACAACAGGGATCTTTGGGAGCGAACCAACACAGCAGGAACCGATTGTGAAACAAATAAGCAGGAAGAAATGGGGATGGATTGGCCATACTCTGAGGAAACCATCAAGTGACATCACTAGACAAGCCATTACTCAAGTAGGAACCGAAAGGGAAGCGGCGAGTTGGTCGTGCAAGGGTTGTAACGACAGAAGGCAAGAGTCAGGGAACAGATCATTTATGAAGGAAATCAACGCACATTTATATATGTTTTCATGTACATTACTATGGATATGTAAACAAACTATCACAGTCTTCCGATTGGTTGTTTCTCACGACAAATCTTGGGAACGTAAATAATGACGTAAATTACTGTCTACCAATTTGGCTAGTAGACATCTCTCACCACAGGGTGACTTGGAGGAGGTCATGTGAAGAGGAGATGAAAATGTGTGGGCAGACATGGAGCCAGGTGAAAACTCTAGCAGAGAACCGAACGCAATGGAGACGCAAGGCTGAAGCCCTATGTTCCTCTAGGAATTAAAGGAAACAATAATAATAAATAAAATATTATGGTTGGCTGAAATATCAGAATTACCGAATCTGAATGTGCATAAGAGGAAATTAACCAATTTTTCTATGAATTTTCTCTCACACAAACATGTATATCAACTGAAATGGAAATGTCTTATAAATGGCAATGAAGTATTGACAGAAGTGTGAGTGGAGTGAAGGCTAACTGTAAATGAATTTAAAAGCAGTATTAATCACTTGACTTTTAACCAGCAGATCCCGAATTCCTATCCCACCTCATCTACTTCATCCTGGGCAAATAAATAGTATTATAAGCCGTCACATAATAAGTGTTCCTCGTAGTGCGAAACTTCGGAAATGAGTTACAGGCAACTGTTTGTTTTTTGTCGGAGTCACTAAATGACATCTTTTTAATAAATGAACTTGTAATCCACTTTCCTGGTACCGAAATACGATTAGGGTTGAAATGAATAGAATTAATTGAAATTACTGAATATTAATTAGCTAAATAAACTGCTAGTTCGACTGTGGATGTATGAAGTGTTTTAGGTATACATTAAAGCAGGTTACGATGTAAATTCGCATCTCCTGAGTGCTGATTGTGCGTTGGTGGCACAGCGGTAGAATGCTCGTCAACCAAGCCTCATGTGGTTTGGGGTTCAGTCTCCGGCCGATAAAATAAGACTGGTGAAGAGGGAAGGCTGAGCACGAGGCTAGCAACCTCATCCCGTAAAAATAAACACCAGTGCTACCGAAACTTGAATCCTCTAACCTGAAGCCCTATGGTCCACTGGGAATGTAAATGAATGGAAAAAAATGGAGTGCTGATTATCCCTCACAGTCTTGAAATCTTTATCTGAGACGTTGCTAGTTGGACAAGTTGATAAAATCCTCTCACCTCCATAAAACAATGTCTTGTGTGTTAAGTAGATTGCTCTTAAATATACAATTCTAGATAATTTAGTCCTTCGATTTTGTGTTTCACTATCCTTAGTTTCAGATCAAATGATCTACAGTTTTGGTTTCACTGATGAGGTGCTACCAAATAACGACGTATGGAGTATTTACACTCCAGTGTGAAAAGTCTTCCTGAATGAATTCATACCTGTTTATGCCTTCATAATAATAAACAAGTCGACATTTCCCTTTTTTCACCAAATAAAATTTTAAAACGTTTCATCCAAGTTTGTTAACTGCAGCTGACAATAAAACTTAAGGAATGTATTACCAAACAATTTCAATAAGCATCATTATTAGCTTGTACATCACTAAAAGTGAGAACATAAAACTTTTTTTGATGTAATTGTTTTCTTTGAGCTGGATGGTTTATTTGCGAAGCTTCCATTGCCCTACTAGGCAAAATATTTAGCGCATAATTCAATTTGAAGTGAACTTTCAGATTTCTCCACGAGTTTATTAATCATCTCGCCTGGTGACGTTGAACATGACTGGTTGCTTTTGTGTGTTTTTGCACCTTCTAGGCTACTTGCATTCGTATTGGTGCTGATTGTTTCCTTGACCTGGAGTTTGACCCTCTGTATGTGAGATTTCCTATCTATCGATTGGTAAATTTTGTCTATCTCGATGCGTCTATTGATTGACGAATCCCTGGAAATAACAGGCTTCTAAAGATTCTCTAGCATTCTTGATGGTTCCTCTGTGTAATATTTGAACTTTGTCTCAGTCGAATTAGTGTCCGTGGTTGTCTGTATGCAGCGAAATGAGGGGTTGGATGTCATGTCTTTTGATGGCTAGTTTATGATCATTGATACGAAGACGAAGGGGACATCCACTTTGGCCAATGTAGTGTCCCAGTCGCAGTTGTTACAGTTTATTTTGTAGATGATG